CAGGAGCTAAGCCTGCACTAGAAGAGTATTGGTGTCCTTTCCCAGCCCTCCAGAGGTGAAAATGGAAAGACACAGTGGTAATTTTGGGTCACCTTACATCTGGGATACCCTGCCGCTGGGATGAGACTGCAGTATCCTGAACCTGCTGATGGTGACGCCTACCTTTGTGGAGGTCCTTCTGCTGTGGACCCAGGAGTTTGGTCAACAGCATGTTTCACACTGCATCACAAAATGTAACTGTTCATTTTAATTGAAGTTTTAACATGTAACCAACCCTCTAAGTGGCTTTCTGTACTTTACAAACTAACAAAGTAAGCATGTTCTCTTTGACATGCCATCCCAGGACTAGACTGAGGGAATGCTCAGCTCCCAAGGAGAAGTTCAACTTGGGGACTAGAAAGGGGGTTGGGGGTGGGGTGCCACTGCAAGTTCTTGAGGAAGAGAGAGGGAGAGGAGACCTCACTGGCAACCTCATAAAGCCAAAGACGAGTCATTCCTCTACATAAAGAATGCATAAATGTCCCATCCCAGAGGGAACCTCAAGCCCTCTTGGCTCCTCTCTCTCAAGCTCCCTGCTGACTGCGTGAGGCATGAGGGATGTTATGAAAGTCCAGCTTCCCATGCATGAGTGCGAGTCTTAGAGTTCATGGCAGAATGCAGCAGGCACTGGAGAAATTAGAGTAGGGACTCTGGCTGGCAGTGAAATCGCCTTTAGAAAATGTGCTCTTGACAACGATCATCATTGACATACCAGACACTAACAAGCTTCAAAAGTGCGAAAGCAACCACTTCTCATAAAATGTCAGTTCCCTCCAGCAGGCGCTACGGACCGCATTTAACATGCAAGACACTACCACTGAGTTAACCGAGTGCTAGGACATGCACCTGTTCTGTGGCGGGTTTGTTGCTGTTTCCAGTGACAAGAAGTGGGTGACTTCAGGCACAGACGTCTCGGAGAGCCCCACCTCATGGGACCTGAATGCTCTTTCAGCTGCCTAACATCAGGGAGTGGAAACAGCTGAAGTTACCAGCAGAGCTGTGTTTCTGGTTTCGTTCCCAAGTTCCTCCTTCAGCAGCTATTCAAGGTTGGTTTGGTTTATTCCTGATTTTAAAGCAGTCACAAGTGTTCTACACAAGTCACTACTCAGGAAAAACTTACAAAAAAAAAAAAATCGCTGTCATATCATCAAGTTGGCATGGCAGCAGCCTGTAGAGGCTGGCAGAGGTAACCTCCATGCAATACTGAACGAACTTCCTCTCCAGTGTTACATATGAAAAAGCTGCCCAGTTCCAGCCCAGTGCTGGTGAGCTTTTCCAAAGGTTTCTGACATTGCCTTACAGTACTTACAGATTGATGACCCTGTGCACATCTACAAACTGGGATCTTATTCTCAGACCTTGGGAACACTGGTAGTGTCTACTGACTATTTAGCCAAGACATCTTCGAAATACAAATGCTTTTAGAACAGCTACTTCCAAATGCAACATGGAATCTCTAGGCTCAAGATACTTCACATGTTCTTATTAAGATTTACAATTCAGTGTTGCACACCTAGCATGCCCTGTTGTATGCTTAATTGCCCTAAGCAGGTTCTGAAGGGGCAGCTTTGTGTCCTGACTTTCCTCACAGCACAAGGGAAGAGTGATTTAAAAACTGAAACTCTAAAACTCTAGGGGCAGGGTGACAGGGAAGTAGTACCTGAAAAAAAAAATTTTTTTTTTCAAGATAGGGTTTCTCTGTGTAGCTTTAGAGCCTGTCTGGAACTAGCTCTGGAGACCAGGGTGGTCTCAAACTCACAGTGATTCACCTGCCTCTGCCTCCCAAGTGCTGGAATTAAAGGCGTGCGCCACCACCTCCCGGCTGTAAATAAGTTTTTTGTTTTTGTTTTTTGTTTTTTTTTTTTTTAAAGCCTAGTACTTCCTAAGAAATGTTAACAATACAAAAATTGAGAAAATCTGATGTGGCCAACTACTGTAATTACAAAACCACTTGCTGAGTTTTCCCTGTCATACAGCCGTGTGCGCTCGCGTGCGTGTGTGTTTGCATGCGCGCGCGAGTGTGTGTGTGCGTGTGTGTGTGTGTGTGTGTGTGTGTGTGTGCGCGTGTGTGTGAGGCATCCCACCTGGTCTGAGCATGCTGGGCAGTAGCCTCAGAAGGTCCCTCCCTCACACCTCCTCATGCATAGGAACCTCTACTGTGACTGCTTTCCTGTTGCAAAGAACGGCAGTGTTAGTAGTCAGGGTTAGTTTGTATTTTCATTTTATTTTTCATTCAGAATGGATGTGAAACTTACTGGCAAACCTACGCTGCAGCCCCATGCAAGCAAGCAAAAAGCAAAATATTGAAAATGGAAGGTAAGGAGAAACTGGCTAGCAGGCAGCTAAACTCACCCTTTTGTACAGCCTATGGTCCACCAGGGGGCTTCAGACAGTAAAACAACACCAGAGAGCCATTAGCATGTGAGGGTCACAGCAGAGATCTTACCAACAGCTTTATGTCAACCAAAGAGACTACCAAGTGCTTTCTTTCGTGGGGAAGGGAGAGAAGGGAGATGGCAGGGGACGTGAAATGAGCAGGAAGGGAACCCATCAACTCATTTTTAAAACCATTGGGGTCACACGACAGAGAAATGGGACGCTTGTTGATTTCTGAGGCCACTGTCTACCTACCTTGTTGAGAGGATATTTTGAAGTTTTCTATTTAATACATACTATAATGCTTCTAACAGTCAGTAAACATGACAGTGTTGCTTCTGAAAGTAATGCTAAATGAACCAAACGGGTTGCACACATCCAAGGGGACAAGGGAAAACACAAGTTAAAATAACCCTAGGAGAGAGGTCCAGACTTCGTCAGGCTCCTTAATGAAATATGTTAAATAAACACACAAACATGGAAAGTGAGTAATACTTCACAGTCAATATGCAAAGGCTCCTGCCACTGGCTTGCACATTTCTGTATCACCTGAACCACAGAGGGCCAACCAAAGAGCAAACTGAGCAGGCAGAGCCGCAAGCCTGACGCTCTCTTCAGAGCAGACCTCGCCTCCTCACTGGTTAAAATGTAAACTCAGACAGTGAGGTCTCCAGCAAACCCCTCTCATAGATTCACTTTAGGAATAGGATTCCTCTGTCCAGCCTACGTTAGGAAGCAGTCTTTCATGCAGTTGTATTTTAAGTATCTTACTTTTTCAACCCACACACTACAGATACAGAGCGCACCCTCAAAAGGCACTCACACTGGGAAGTCAGTGAAGGGTTTTAGGTGGCTTTGCTTACACTGCATTTCTCGTAGACATTTGGACTCGAGAAGCAACACAGTTGAGAAAGCAGCACAGTTTAATCTTAGAATGTTCTAGTTTGTCGGAAATTGCCTTAAGAGCAACGCCAGGGGCTGGATGGGCCAGTCTCATGAAGTAGAGTGGCGATTCCACACCAAAGGGGCTAAGTCTACCAGGGTCTGTGCTGGACAGTCTCCTGGGGGCTCTCACTCTACAGGCAAAATAAGGGAAGAAGGGGCCATACACATACGGAAAAGAATGTAGGGGTCCAAGGTATTTTACAAACTGGAGAAACTCAGCCATTTTACCAGGTCGTAAGTGCACAACTGAAGCCATGGTGGAGCAACAGAGGCAGAGACTGGCTTTGGGAAGATGTGCAGAATCACTTTCATCGTGTACAGGCATTCCCTGTGTACAGGCATTCCCTGTGTACAGGCATTCCCTGTGTACAGGCATTCCCTGTGTACAGGCATTCCCTGTGTACAGGCATTCCCTGTGTACAGGCATTCCCTGTGTACAGGCATTCCCTGTACTGTAGCACCCTCTCCCTGCCAGGACGTCCTCAGTCAGCTCATTCACACTGGTGTCTCACGCACTAGCTTTTGGGGCGGGAGCAGGGGAGGATGGCGGTGTTGGAAGTGGGGAAGACCTTGGTCCAAGGCATGAAGAGAGCATCCAGAGAGCATGCCCGATGTCCTATGTCCATCTAGAGAATGCCTAGCACCCTAAGGCCCACTCTTGAAGGTTTTATACGTTTCTTTCTGTGGTCACACAGATTTGTGTCTGTGTTGACTTAAGTAAGAGCATAAGTTCCCAGTTAAACTTTAAGTCTAAGAGGCAAAATACTTTCAAATACCAGCAGCGTAAATGGCTCTGAGAGTAAGACACCTGAAGTGGGAGGTCTGCTGAGGGAACTGAATGGAAGGCTTTGGGGATGGTTAAACCAGGAGAAAGCGTAGACAGCAGAGAGCCAGCTCAAGTCTGCTGCTCTCAACCCCAGGGAGACAACACATTCACACGATGAGAGACTCAGAGCAGCTCTAACAGCCGCTGTTACAGACTCCAGACTCGACCTACAGCAAGAAAGCAAGACTCTCCACTCCAGCCCCCAGAAATCTAAGTCTTCCCCAGGAAAGCTCACATCTGAGGAGAGATTCCTCTAGCACGGCTCCATGAGAAGATGCTATAGCCTTCCTCTGTGCTCCCCACTCTCACCTTGGACCAAATCAGACTGGTAAATTGAATGGGAATGCTATCTTCCACATATCCAGCAGAGGGCACCAACAGCTAAGTGGAAATTCCACATGTGAAAACCTAGATGATGTTTAAGGTGTTTTTTTTTTTTTTTTTTTTTTTTTTCCCCTCCTTCCTTGATGTCTAGTGGCAGAGTAAACACACAGTGGAGACCATAATTCGAACTGGTGTATAAATACGTTAAAGAGAAAATCTGAACTAAGAGCCAGTCCAAGAAAATTACACAAATGCCCAAATCAAAACAGAAAACAGTTTTGAGTCTCCATGGTCAGACACACCCTTTCTCAAATCATTGCAGCCCAGTGGCAGTGCCTAGAATTAGTTCAACATCCTGTTATGACCTGGAGTGTTTACCCCATGTTTGCTGGAGGTTATCAGCATTACACAGAGCCAGCAAACAGTTAGGAAGGTCAGGGCCGTTTCATTATCACTAGTGAGCACAATGACACATAAGGGCTTGGTGTACCTGTGACGACAGCGGCGTAGAAACCTCATTATTTTCCGAGCAGCCTGGTCCTGTTTTTTGGTCAGCAAACTGCTCCTAAAAAAGCCGGATATTATTGTCACAAGAAAGGTCCCATAAAGCTCCCAGTGCAGACACTGAGGACTGAGCTGAACCACAGTGGGAGACTTACAGTTAAATGGTTTGTGTCATTGTGTCACAAATCCAACTGCAAAGCACACGCTGCCCCCACAGCGCTGAGACTGGCTTGGGGACACGGTCCCAAGCCTTTGTTTTCTTTACTTGTTTGACCCAGGGTCTCACGTACCTCAAGTTGGCAAAGCCACAATGTAGAAGCTTTCTGATTCTCCTACCTTCATCTCCCAAGTGCTGGCACTACAGGCATGAGCTACCTTGAACAGTTTATGTGATGATGGATAGGGAGGCTTAAGACAGGGTCAGCCTCTAACTCATGATCCCTGACTCAGCCTCTAGAGTTTTGAGAGTACAGGTATTCACCACAATATTCAGGGGTCTTTTCCAGGTTTTGGCTTTTGGTTTTTGTGGGTAGGCCTCCCAGCATTAGGCAGACCTCCTCAGTTTAGGAGTTTGAGTCTGAGCTTAATACTCTCTTTGGGCTATTTTCTGTTTTTAATCTTTAGCCTGCTACTCTCCAAAATGGAATCACCAAGCCCTATGTTCTCTTTCTCAGTAATCAGGGAGTTCAGAACACTGCAGAATAACAACACCTCTTCAAAAGTACACGTTATGACCCTGACAAATATTAAGCTGTACCCGTTAGCCAGTGACATTCAAGTAACAACATGTGGCAGTTACAGAAAGGACCTCAGACAGAGACCAACAAGACTGGCATTGCTAGACAGAGCCACCACACCCAGAGTAGCTGGGGCCATGCCATGCCTCAGGCCCTGAACCCCACAGGCCTGTGACCCACCTGAGCTTCTGCTGTACAATGACTGCTGTCCTTCGAGCCGGCCGCCTCCTGCCACATTTCTTGTAACTCCGGTAGAAGTTCTGGATGAGCACTGCAGCTCGCCGGCTCTGCTGGAACCGTTTCTGCTCATAATAACTTCGGAACTTGCTCTGGATGAGAATGGCCGCCTGGGTCATCTTTTTGTAAAGTGCATACTGCAGGGGACACAGAGGGACAGGGTAGTAACCAAGGGAGCCGGAAGGCCTCTGAGCTCAGGAGGTAGGAGCCCCTCCTCCCTCCCCTCATCTTTGATAGGGCTGACCACAAGAATGCAACAGCAACCTTTCATCCATTCTCCCAGACAGCCTGCAGGCAACATGCACTTCCATCCTCAGACAGCAACAATGTACACACACTTTACCTCCTGAGGATTTCTAGCTACCTAAAGATAATTGAGCCCCAAAGCATCGAAATGCAACATTTTAAGCTGTTTTAAGGTAAGAATTTACTATCCACCTTTGAAACACTTTAACCCTTACTGCGTCTCCTGCACCCACTCCTACAGCACCACCTCAGCGCCTCTTCAACTAATTTGCTCCATGTCACAAATTTCTGTTGGAGCTACAAGGTCCCAAATACAAGGGTTATCATGAAACGCTGACACCTTTAAGCCATTTCACCCTGCAAGAGATTAAACTTCATCGGACACAGTGGCCATGTAATGAAGCCTGGAAGGCTGCCAGAGAAGGGGACTGCTTAGGAGCCAATGTCAGAGGCCCCGAACCCAACCTGCTCCACAGCCACAGGGCAGAGAGGGAAAGGCCCAGGAGGCAGGCTCGGTTCTGAATCAGTCCCTATGCACGCAAAGCTCAACACTGTGCTAGGTGGAAGTTTGTAATGCAGTGCAGAGGTCACGTGAAGAAGGCAACTTCCTATTGTAAGGGGACAGACTACTCAGAACCCCACCCTCCACGCCTAACTGCATCTCTAGCTGTGCTGTAACACAAGGGAAGGAAAACTGACTTCTCAGAATGTTCAAAAAGCAAACCTCTCTGGTCTCTCCTGGCCTGCTTTAGTGCATTCCCACCCACCCAAGTCCTTTAAGGTAAGAATATTGCATCCTATGGAGCTTTTGTAGGTCTTGCCATTGTGGCTGAACAGGGCATGTCCTGGTCCCTGGAGCCACTGTGAATCCCATCATGGAAATAAGGTATCTGCTTCATATTCTCTAGGTTCAAAGTCACTGGCTTGGCCATAAAATGTCTGAGCCCAGTCCGCTAGCAAAGCCACAGGTCCCCAAGGATAGATGTGGCATGGCTGGGTGGCCTGGCAAAGGGGAATGTGTTTGGTGACTGAATGGCCCTCCTTGCAGCTGGAGATGGGTGTGGTCTGAGACTCTGGTGGAATGGTTTGTGCGAGGACTTGGTGTATCATTACCTTCAAGGCTATCCATGTCAGCTTGGGGGAGAAACAGAAAATACAAGATTAACGTTAGATTACTGAATATAGGAAACCAACCAAAAAACCCCCAAATCAGTACAACTCCCAACCAAAACGAAAACCAACAAAAAAGGCAGCCTGGCTATATTAATGCCTTCCATCTTCCAAAAAATAGCAATCTTACAGCTGCCACCATTTCCAAAGATAATGGCTTCCATCTTCCTAGCTGAAGACAACATTTACTCAGCAGGGACTTTTCTTTCTCTTTAAAAATAAGTACCTGTTGTCATCACAGACTGGAACCCTTGATTCTGTGTGATCTAATCTAGTGCTAACATGAAGCCCGTTCGCTGATCTAAGAGACACTGGGACTGACTGTGGTGTCAGCGTTTGCACAATAAACCTTCAGGGTCTGGGATCTTGGACTCAACTGGCCAGAGCTGGAGTCCTTGCTTCCCTGCCTACTGGTAAAAGTTAACAGGAGAGGCTTGAAAACCAAAAGAACAAAAACAGCAATTCACATCAGAAACCAAAACCCTAGGTCTCAAGGAGAGTACAGGACCCCAGATTTCTCTGCAATTATTATAGTATTATACATCTCAATGCCCTATACGTAGAATGTAAAGCTTACCCAAAGCCCAATAAAATAAGGCATTCGAAACTCTTTTACAGAACAGTGTGTGTGTGTGTGTGTGTGTGTGTGTGTGTGTGTGTGTGTGTGTGTGTGTCTAACAGTGAGTCCAGGCTGGCCTTGAACTGAATGCTGGAATTACAGCCTGGAGCCATTGTTCCCAGTAAAATAACTGAATTTTTTTTTTTTCCTGATTTTTTTGTTCGTTTGTTTTGTTTTGAGACAGGGTTTCTCTATACAGCCCTGACTGTCCTGGTACTCGCTCTGTAAACCAGGCTGGCCTTGAACTCACAGAGATCAGCCTGCCTCTGCCTCCCAAGTGCTGGGACTAAAGGCTTTTGCCATCAGTGCCTGGCTAATAACCGAATTTTTAACATGGAAACTAGTCTAAACTCAGTAAGGAAAGTTTCAGTATTTTATAATCACATTAACATCTATAAACGCTAACATTTGCTTAATTTCTCTGAGCCTGCTTTCTTCCTTTGTGAATGGAAATGAAACTGCTTGGAGTAGCTCTGAGGCTTCGGTGCGCCTGGTGACCAGCATATCCTGCCCTTGGATGCAATTCCGCTAGCCCACAACTGCCCCGGCAGTATGATCTCTGTGAGACAGGCCGCTGACATCCATGCCTCTGCTAACTAAAGCTTAGTGGCAGGATGCTTTTTTCTTTCCCTCTGGTTCTTAATCAAGGCAGTTCAAGTCAGGCCTTAGCTATCAAGAGTCGGATGTTTGCCTTTTAGCCTGACTACACAGCAGCGTCTTCTCTGGGCTTTGTGAACAGGTGCCCTCTCCTCTTAGCTCACAGCTGAGGGTTACCTGTTTGTACTTTCTGTAGCAGCGCTGAATGACGGCAGCGGCCACTTCCTGCTGTTCCCGCAAGGGTCTGCCCTGAAAGGCAGAGTGAGGAGATCGCAGTGAACTAGTGCAAGAACTGTTACACACAACATAGGAGCCATTACTCATGTGTAGGAACTATCACACACACTTGGAACTGTTACTCATGTGATGCTACTTTCCAAGAAATAAGACCGACCCACCTGACAAGGATAACTATGAATTAAGAAAAATGAATTTGCAGAATAAATCTCCAACTGTTTTTCCTTTAAAAAAAAAATCAAATAATATTTGGACGTTAGGAGGCCTAAAAATGTGCATTTAAAAGGTTTTGCTTTTAACAAATCAGGTATTGTGACACTCATCTTCCAGGCTCTGGGCCGTCTTTCCTAATAATCCAACTGTTTCCCTGAACACCTTCAGGCAGAACGGTCAGATTCCTTTAGGAGTGTGCAGGAGACAAGTCCCCCCTAGCTCCCACACCCTGGTAAAAAGCACACGCAAAAGTTTTGTCCCTGAGTTCCCAGGGGCTCAGGGGCAGCCCACAGTCCTCAGAGCCTGACTTATGATTTAGGCCATAAATCCTTTGTGGCTGAGGTGTCAACTTATCAACAATAAGGTAATGACAGCCATCCCACTGATTTTATTTGACTAAAACTCCTGAAAGTTATGATAATACTACAACATAACGTAAAGTCTTCCAATAAACATTTTATCAAACCACAAACCACAGGGAAAAGGGGACCGGGACACAGACACCCCTGTTTTACCTTGTATTTCCGGAAAGCTGTCTGGACAAGCCTGGCGGCTTCATAGAGTTCTCTCTGCTCATGGTCTGACAGTGTGAGCTGAGCGAGCTCGCTCTCTACCTTCTCGCTGGTGGACGCGCTCAAAAATTCTGACCAGTCTGCTGCCGAGGGAAGGCTGGGCTTCTCAAAAGCTGCTTCACTGACAGGGGACCCTGCCGGGCTCAAGCTGGCACTAGAAGAAGGAGTTAGGGGCTCAGTGTACGCAGTCCTGAAGCAAAAAGAAAAAGACAAGATGGTTAACAGCGCTTATGCTGTCCACTGCCCAGAAATGGATGAGACAAGCAAGACAGGATCTACCTGAAGCCAGCCTGGGCAGGTCAGCTGCCTTCATTCTGCTTATGGGTTGCTCACCACACTCAACATGCTGCACCTCAGTTAAGTTCCTACTGAACACCTACCATCAGTTTAGCACCGTGCTAAATACAAAGGCCAATAAGGACAACAGCTTGCCTCTAGGAAACTTCACCAGAAGAAGGGCACATCCCCAGACGCACGCACGCACGTGCCACTGGCATGGGGAGGACGTGACAGAGAGAGAGATGGCAGAGCCGGGGTTTGGAAGTGGCCTGAGGCCATGCGCCCTCCTTGGGGAAGTCTTCTCTTTACACCTGGCCTCCGGTTAAAGCCAGGACTTTACCCTGGGCAGAGAGTCCCTGACCCCAGGTCTTCCTAACCTGATGTGGGCAGCACTGGGCAGACGGTCGGCATCAGCTAAGTAACTGGCCAGCCAGCTCATCGTACTGATGGTGGCGGGATCTGTCCTTTCCAGGGCCGAGGACTCCATGGGCACGAAGTTCTCCTGCTTGATTCGGTCCGGTGTGGCCTCAATAATGTGCTCCGCCAAGGTCATCATGTTCACCTGCAACCAGAGACCACAGCACACTGAGCTTAGAAAGAAACCTCCAAACCCGTTTCACTGCCACCCTTCCTCGTAAAGGAAAACGGAGGCGGGGCAGGGGAGTGCGGGAAGACAGCCAGTTACACCTCAGTCCAGCGCACTCAGGTAGCTTAAGTCGCTGTGACGCACCTGAGCCCTGATCACCTCCTAATCCTAATAGTTTGGCCTCACACCTTACAGAGCTTCTGTCTTGGGCCCACTGTCTACTCTGAGCAGCATGAACCAGTTAGGGACCTCATACCTGGGAGGGAGGGAGGCGTTTCCAGGTAAATCTTCATCTTATTTCAAAAATATTACTATTTATGTGCCTTCTACCATGTGGTCCTGGAGACCACAGGCACATCATGTTATCAGGCTTGAGGGAAAGAAAGCACCTTTACTTGCTGCGCTGTTTTGTCAGCCCTAAATACACATACACACACATACATATATATATCTGTATACATATATGTATGTGTGTGTGTGTATATATATATATATATATATATATATATATATATATATATATTTTTTTTTTTTTTTTTTTTGAGATAGGATTTGTGTAGCCCTGGCTGTCCTGGAACTCACTCTACAGACCAGGCTGGCCTCGAACTCAGAGATCCACCTGCCTCTGCTTCCCAAGTACAAGTACTGGGATTAAAAAATGTGTGCCACCACCACCTGCCTTATTTTTATTTTTAACTGTGTGTGAGTGTTCATGTGTGTGCCTGTGTGTACACATGTGAGAGCAAGTGCTCAAAACGCAGGAGCTGGAGCTGTCAGCCACCCAGAATGGGTACAGGGAGCCAGACTAAGGTTCTCTGAAAGACCTACACTTATGAATGGAGATATGGTCTCCTCTTTTCAAAATTCTGTGCACACCTCTTAAAAATGGTAGTCAAAATGCAACAGCTTATGTTTCCACCGGATCCTCTGGCCTCGGAAAACGAGTGTTCTGACAGGAAGTGTGCGAGGCGGAAAGGCCGGTCTCTGCGCTAAGGGACTGTGCGTTGCACACGGGCTCCCCAGCTTGTGGAGCCGTCTGGGGATGGGAGTGTTGAGGCCTTCACTGCTCTGTGTCTTGGCTGTGGAATGTAAGGGGACTGCTGCTCTAGGTTCCTGCTGCCCCAACTTCCAGCTCAACGGACTGTCTTGAACTAAAATAAACCCAGCTCCCTTAAGTTACTTGGTCAGAGTATTTCATCACAGCACTTCGAGAAGAAGCTAAGGTACACACTGTTAACCACAGGCCTGGGAAGGCAGAGCTGCACTTCTGGTTGCGTGTGTGCGGTGGGTCCCTGCCGTACCCTCTTATGACCACAAACTCCTTATCTGGTCCTGGGTTAGTTATTTTTGGTCACAGCAACCCCAATTCAACGAAGTTTCCAGACAAGCACAATTCTGAGACTGAAATCAGATGCGGGTGAATGACTCAGAGGGTCACTGGGAGCTGAGAAGGAAGGCTAACCTAAGACCTTTCTGACCAGCCAACAGCTGCCTAAAGATGCCTAACGTGGGCTTTACAATCTAAACACCAGACCTCTAAAAACAAAACAAACAAACAAAACCCAAAACTATTTTAAATGTCTGCTTAAAGTAATTGTTCAAGTTCACTTCATTGAGCAACTATGATTGTCTCCAGAAAGGTTTAATTCAGGAGAGAAAATCCACCCTGCACGGGTGGCATCATCCCCCAGGCTGGGCCACAGGTGGGCGGCATCATCCCCCAGGCTGGGCCACAGGCTGAAGAAGCAGAAAGCAAGGGGCACCAGCAACCAGCTCGGCTTCCTGACTGTGCTACACTGCTGAGCAGTGACCTCACCCCTGCTGCCAAGCCTTCCCTGCCACAGTGGATCAGACCTCACAGCGGAACCAGATATAAGCCCTCCCTCCCTTCAGCCGGTTCCATTATGCAAAGCAGAAAAATAACCAATACAGGCCCCAGCAGAAATCGTCCACACCAAGGACTGGGCAAACTGTACCAGGCAGAACAGAGCCAGCTACCTGTTTGTGTAGTTAGAGCTTTGTCAGACTGCAGCTACAGGCATCCCTTTGTCCACGGTTACTTTTGTCCTCTTACGGCAGATCCAACAGCTAGAACAGTTTCTGTATGAGCCACAAAGCCTAAGAAATATTTATTCATCTGGCTCTTTACAGAAAAAAATTTCCAGCCTTTATCTACATTATTTGACCTAGGCTGGGCACGGTGGGACAAACATGTAGCCCCAGCTACGTGGGAGGCAGAGACCGGAGTACTGCCATTTTGATGCCGGCCCAGGGAACTTAATGAGGCCATGTCTGGAGATAAAGTTTAAAGGGGCTGAGGACTGTGCTCAGTGGACAGAGTTTGCTTAATATGTGGGAAGCCAAAACAACATTGTGTGATTTAACTTGGCAAGCATCCTCCTGGCTACATGGCTGTTGGTAAATCAGTGGTGGGGTCTCCCATCCCGGGAGAAGGGGGTATACTGGCAATAAGCATGCATAAGCATGTATAAGCATGCCTGCTTCTCACCCTTCACGGAATACGGGGGGCCAGGCAGCTCCCCCAGGGTGCAATGCTCAGAAACGACTCGGCGGTTCCTTTTGTGCACCTGCTGGCAGGGAAACCACCCTCCCTGCCCAGCATCACTCCTTAGGCATGGGTACCCCTGCCTTCTCCTTTCGTTTCAGGCTGTAGCAACAAGAATCTGGAAAGAGTCAGTCCATCCCAGGTCTCTGGTTTCCCTTTCGACTGCCCCTGTGACGCCTCACTTAGTGTAGAGTTTAGTACCCTCAGGACTCTGCTTCCTACATTCACTACAAGGGCATCTCACCACATGCCATGTGAGCCTCCAGCCACAGATGTCCTTCACAATGGCTTCAGATAATCCAAAGCCTGTCTGCAGGCTTCCCTGCTGGCTATTTTTAGGGCCCTGACTCTATTATAACCAGTACTGAGAACAGTGGAGCTGTCATCCTGGATGCAAGGGAGCAGGAGACATATCAGAGGGGCTTAAGTTGAGTTCTGAAAGGGCTGGTACCAAGAGGAAGGTTTTGTTAAGGGCCTGCAATCGGGTCCTATTCCCGGTGCCCTAGTCACAGAAGGAGAATGTGGCCCGAGGGAAGCAGATACTCAACCTTCCCTGAGCAAGAGCAGACTGCAAACCCTTCCTGGGTGGGGGCAGGGATGGCACCAGGGGTCTGGGGGCGTAAGAATTACATGACTTTCAGAAGTGAACCGTAACGTTCACAGCCACAGTGAGGTTCCAGCTTCGGCAGCTTACCCGGTTAGTCTTACCTGAATATCATCCATGGGCTGGGGGCATTCCTCGCTCTCTGCACTATCCCGGTAGGCCCCCATCTCTGTATTCACCACCTCTCGGTTAGCCATCATCAGGACACTCATTGGTTCCCTGGGACGCACCTGTGGAGGTGCCGCGTCCTTTACTACACTGGTCCCCTTCGGATTTCCAGTCACCTGCACTGTAGACACACCAATGTAAAGATCTTTGGAACTCCACTGTACTACAGGCTGAGGTGCAGAGGCTTGGAATGCTGCGGACTCTGGAGTGGGAGGGGAGGCTTCCCGGCTGTAGTCCCTCACTCCTTCACTGGGGCTGATTGTCTCAGGGGAAGACTGCTTAGAACTAGGGCTCTGCTTCCTGGCATTTGGCTGCTCCAGGCTCAGTGCAGGGCAAAGCAGTTTCTCCTGCCTTGCCTGGAAGGACTCGGGGTTCAATTTATGCTTTTTGGGAGCTGGACAATCTTTGTGGCTCTCACTGCTGTAGTAATTAGAGGGTTCAGACCGAGGTCTTCTCAGATCTGAAAAGTACAGTAGAAAGGACAGTCAGGACAGGCGACCGAAAGCAGGAACCCTAAAGAACCAACATGTTATGCCTGAGAGGTAAGAAGTGCGAAGCTGGAGCGCAAGACATGTTCCTGAGCTGTCGATATTCCCCAGTGGCACTGAAGCACTTAGGTAACCCTCCTCCACAGGGGCGTGTTTCCGTACAGACAGGCTTTCCATACTGGGAGGGCACTAGCTATTTTCAAAGGAAAATCAGAAACACCATGGAACCCCACCCCCCTGCCTCCAACCCTTAAATGTATGTGGGTGTCCTACGGACTCTTCTAAGGGAAGATGCAGAAAGCCGATGGGGAAGCTGGCAAGTTTCGAGAGGAAACGCTTGTGAATTTGTACCTGGATTGGTGCTTGCAATGACGGTGACTCCTTTGGGTATTTCTGGAGAGCTCATGGCCTCCCTGTGCCATTGGGCCATCCAGCTGTCTGCACTTGGCTCTTCACTCGGGGCACAGTGGATCCTGGGGGTCTGTCCCAGCTGGGCCTGCTCGTCCCTTTGCAGGTGCTCCAGACACTCTGCTAATTTCACATGGCCCCTCGACCTGGCAATTCCCAAAGGCAGCCTTCCCAGGGAGTCTGGGATGGAGATGGCCCGGCGGTCCCATTTGTACAACACCACTGCAGCTTCCAGGTGCCCCAGGGCACAGGCCCACATCTGAAAAGTCACCAGTCAGAACAAGGAGCTCACAGGAGGCGGAAAACAGATGCCACCTTTGCTGCTGATAGCAGCAGGCACACAGGCCTTCGTCGGTAATCTCAGTGGGGCCCTGACAATTATCTCTAACAGATGCCCAATTCCAGTAACACAACGGTGTGCATGTCCGATAGTTAGCAGAGTTTATAAATTCACTCTGCTAAATCAGTTTGGAATTTATCTTTGTCTTTTTTTTTTTTTTTCACCAAGGGTCTTATACAGCCCAGGTTGGCCTTAAGTCACTTTGTAGCCAGGGATAACCTTGAACTTCTGAACCTCCTGCTTCCTCCCCAAAAGCTAACCACCATCGTACCCTGTTTTGCACTTCTCTTCTTTTCTTTTTTTGAGACTGGATTTCTCTGTGGAGCTGTGGAGCCTGTCCTGGAACTCATTCTGCTCTGTAGACCAGGCTGGCCTTGAACTCACAGAGATCTGCCTGCCTTTGCCTCCCAAGTGCTGGGATTAAAGGTGTGCGCCACCACACCCAGATAACAAGCCTCTTCCTTACCAGAGGAGTACAGGAGAAGTGGTCCACATTCAGGGGGTCGACTTCCAGTTCCAGATCAATGCTGTCTGCATGCTTTGTGCTGCAGGGATAACGTGGAGTTACCACAGGTTAGCCCACAAGAAAAGGAAACAACAAGGTAACACGGAGCCCATGAAAATGAAGGCAAACTGGGCACCCAGCCTTGCTGGTGTGAAGAAGCCGGATTCTGGACTTGAGGGGTAGCTTGCACTCTCCACTCGACAGAAGCCCAAAGAAAACAAAGTCAAGCATCTCATATCTCACTCAGTAGTCTAGGGCATACGACAGCAAGGATCACTTGGGAGCCGTCCTGGGAAAAAGCCCCGGCTCCCGGGCTATGACATGCACTGAATGATTGGTTTCCTTCCCCCCAGTGGGAAAGCCCAGGAAACTGAGAAGTGAAAATGGCCGAGTCCTTTGCACCTGGCCTTACCGCCATTTGATGAGGGTCTGGATGAGGGTGGCGTAGCCCTGGGCAGCGGCCAGGTGTAAGAGGGTCATCCCACGGAAAGTCTTTGAATGGATCAAATGCTTGGATTTGGCCCAGCAGGCTCGGCTCATCATCTTCTCACAGACAACAACCACACGACTCTCGAAGCAGCTCCCTAGGGTCCCGGCACCCGATGCACACTGTGTCATGAGAAAGTGCATGTTAACACCCAAGGCCACAGGCCCTCCACCACGCCAGAGACATGGATGACAATCTGCAGTGCGCAGAAAACATGTTAACTGTGAAAACAAAGAAATGCTAAGAAATAGAGAAAGAGCTAGCAAGATGGCTGAGGGGAAAGGCACCTGCTGCTAAGCCTGATGGTCAGGGTGTGATCCCTGCGACCCACACAGTAAGACGCAGACACCAGTTTAAATTATGAATGTGTGCATGAGTTCAGCTGTGTGCCTAGCGTGGCTAGAAGGCGGCGAGGTTGACAAGTGCGCTGGGAACTCTAAGACCAGTGTGAGGTCTCACCTGCTCAGCCATCTTGCTAGGCTCTAATAAAAAAACTTTTTTTAAAAAAGAAATATAATAGACATGCCAAAGGCCTCAACCCTACACAAAGAATTCAGACAACTAAGGGACGCTGAGAGAGGGAGACGCAATCCTCCCCAGGGAAGTACACACTAATTGGGTAAGTGGTCAGCCCCATAAACTGAGCAGGTTATATTTAGGAATATACATATATATGTGTTTATGATGTATGTACATGTATATAAGTAACTACAATTAATGAAAAGAGGCCATGAATTTGAAAGAGAATATGCAGGGATATTGGGAGACTATGGAGGGAGGAAGGAGCAGGGAAATAAACTAATTATATCATGATCTAAAAACTAACTTCATAGGATGGAAATAAGGAAATTATATTATGATCTTAAAATCTGTAACTTCATATGGGCAATAATGAATTAGATATATGTGTGTATACATACACACATTTTAACTTCTATTTTACTGAAACTTTTAAATTTTTAAAAGAATTTGGTTTAAACTAAGACACAGAAGTAAAAAAAGAATAGGTAACAAGGGAGCAGCGGTTCTGTGCAGCTGGGGTTCACGGACTCCGCTTCGGTGCAGCTGGGGTTCACGGACTCCGCTTCGGTGCAGCTGGGGTTCACGGACTCCCGCCACTGTAACAGTTATAGTGACTGTGACACACAGATATGTCTCACGCCGACAATTGATTCTTGCTTCTTCAGAAGCCGAGTTAAGTCACTTCAGTGTGCCTTTTCCTTTTAAAACAATGCTTAGGACTATCCAAAAACATCATTTTTTTAAAAAAAAAAAAAAGAAATGTTAAGTGTTTGAGTGTCCTGCCTGCAAGTACTGTGTGCGCGCCAGGTGTCTACAGAGGGCTAGAACTAGCTACTGCTGCTGTGCGCGGCCCTGTGGGTGCTGAGATGTGAACTCACATCCTCTGCAGGGCAGCCAGGCTCCTATAACCACCGAGCCATCTCCCCAGCCTTCAGTTTTTTAAAAAAAGTCTTTACAAAGTGAAAAGGGATACTTGGGAGAGCATGGCAGACATGAGCTGAAGGGTTACTAATCATATGGGTGATGGGCCCACAGGAGATGGTTCATCAACGTTGGCCACACGTAAGAGGGATACAAATCAAGGCTGGTAACCATAACCACTACAGTCCTGTGTTCAAGGCACACTCAACCCAGTGGCACGTCTAGCCTAATTTCCTTCTCTGGTCTTACTGGAAAAGCATTTTTTTTTTCTGGCAATAAATTCCACATAATCCAATTAGTACAACAATAACATTGCTCTTCATCACTCTTATTTTTAAATATGGAAAACATGTTTCCAAAAATTATAAAGGCAGCTTATGGATGCAATGTCATTCACAACTAGAGTTGTCAAAACATCACAGAGAAGATGGTTGGGTCGTCCAACACACAGCACACTGACCTTGACCCAAGCAGAAAGGCTGTTCTATATATGCCAAACAGACTACTGTACGGAGACATGAGCATCATCAACCAGTGAATAAACAGGGAACGTTTCCAATTAAACACAAACAGCCCCGTCTCTGTCATTATGTAGTAGATACCACCATCTACTGGAGACACAATTTAAATCAGCAAGCATATCCCATAGTAGCTGTACTTGATACTGGATCAAAGAGGGCCAGCTGCCATACGGCTGAGCTTGAAATATGATATACTGCCTCCTTTATGCAGTGTTGGTGTGTGAAAAGACTTTCATGGGAACGTCCTATCTGGTCCTCAGATCAATTCCACAAAGATTACTCGGCTTATAAAACTTAGCAGTATCAGGTGAAAATGAAAGCTATCTTTGTAGTGGTGTGGCCATCAATCCCAGTACTTGGGAGGCAGAGGCAGGAAGATCCTAGGCCAGCCTTAATAATAGTTTCACCACATGTAAGACAGAAGTTAGAAGAAAATCTGAGATTAGTGTGGGCAGAGATACTACGCTTTGCTTTCATCTATTATTAATACGGGAAACACTGGTGCTGGAGGGATGGCTCAGCAGTTAAAAGCACTGGCTGCTTTTGCACAGGACCAGGGTTCACTTACCAGACCCATGTGGTGGCTCACAACCATCTCTAAGTCCAGCTCCAAGGGGATCTGATGCCCTCATCTGGTCTCTTCAGGTATTGCACGCACATGGTGCATATACATACACACAGGCAAACACCCATGCACATAGAAGTAAATTAAAATATTGCAGTGCTTCATATTTACAAGGTTTCCCAACAAACAAACAAACAAACAAACAAACAAAATGTACTTAAAAAGAAATTCTAGGGGACTGGAGAGATGGCTCAGTGGTTAAGAGACTGGCTGCTCCTCCAGGGGTCCTGAGTTCAATTCCCAGCAACCACATGATGGCCCACAACCATCTGTAATGAGATCTGGTGCCCTCTTTGCAGGCAGAACACTGTGTACATAATATATAAATTAAAAAAAAATTCTGCTGGACATGGGGATGACCACAACTTTGATCCTGACACTTAGAGGCAGAGGAGGCAAATCTCTATGAATTTGAGGCTATCATGGTCTACACATAAGTTCCAGACCAGCCAGGGCTACATGGTGAGACCCCCCCCATCTCAAAAACAAAGAGAGGTATGGGAGGAGAAAGAGAACTCTGCAAAGAGAGACTATCCCTCACATTGAAGGGCAGGAAGGGGCTCCCTGAGGAGGCTTTCAGGAAAGAAATTGGTAGTGAAGACAAGAAGCAGCATCCAGTCCTCGATCTCAATCTCGGGAGTCTTTGTTTGTTTGTTTTGTTTTGGAGACCGGGTTTCTCTGTATTGCTTTAGAGCCTGTCCTGGAACTAGCTCTCTAGACCAGGCTGAATCTTGGGAGTCTTAAGTAGTTTATCCTTAGACTTTCTCAAGATAAAGCTCCTAGACGGATGTCCAGAGAAGCGTCAAGAACAATAGTTTTAAAGTAGTACTTGGTCATATGATAAATTCTCGGTGCTGCATATGAAAACAATACATGTGAGGCTGGTGGATGCTGATGGCTCAGGAGCTAGAGGTGTTCACCATCAGCCATCAGTTCTGACAGCCCGATTCAACCCCTGGAGACAGGGTGTGAGGAGAAAGTTGCCCCTGCCCTCCATGAGACTGTCACTTACACATACACTAATGCAAATGAAGAAAATCAAATTTAAAAGGGAAAGGAAAGGTATGCGTGAAAGATGAGAAAATGGCCTAATGGGATGCCGTTTCTTATTGAATAATATTCCAGGAGCCGTTTCTGAGTTCACCTTCTGGGGGCTAGAAAAGGCTTAAGAACTGCGGAATTACTTGCAATCTGTATTTCCTAAGATAGTGATAAGACAACACCAAATATGAAGTAGAAAGACCGGTTTAGTTCAGAGTTCCAGCACACATGCATCAGCTCCTGGCTGTTCCTTCCACTGCCAGGGAACACAGTGGCATCTGAGAGCAGGAAGGATAGCAAAAACCTGGGGTGATGACCAGAGCCCTGCACCAGGGTGTCTTCCACACTGCAGACTGAGCACGGGTACCACGAAGCAGGCCCCTGGACATTCTATTCCAATCTCTGAATGGCAGCAGCAGCAGCAGGGGAACTGGGACCGGGTGCCTCGTGCGTGAATGAAACACTAAGCAAACAGAAACTGCCAAGGGCAGGGCCTACCTGGGCCTGGCCCCCTCCAGCGCCGCTCCCGCTGCCGCCTCCGCTGCCGCCTCCGCTGCCCGTCTGCTTGTGCTGCTGGGAGCCTGTCATCTCCGCCATCCTCCTCTCCATCTGCTCCAGCCGCTCCAGGATGGACATCCTGAACTGGTTATCTAGGGCAGAGCAGGAGTGAGGCTGCATTCTAGATGAAAAACATTTGACCTGTGGCCTATGCCAGCTTGCAGGTCTGGCGTCCAAAAGCCTGTCAGTAACTGTCAAAGGAGGGGCTACAGCAGACTGGTTTCCCCAGCACAGCACACAGGCTGTCTTTGCACACCAGAACGTAACATTTACAGCAGCCCTCGGTCCCCAGAGGAAGCACCAGAAAAATCCCTTTGTGTCAAAAAAATCTCACTTTTGGGTTCTTGCTTCTCTATTTCTTAGTGGAATTCCCCACCTTGAGGAGATCCGACAGACACCCCCTCCGCACCCAGGGCAGGCATAGGAAGTGGGTATGGTGAGTTAGTGAGAAAGGAGGCAGGCCATCACCTCGAGAGCCGGGATTGTAATTCAGAAGGCATGATTCTACACTGCTGAGCACGTCTGCACCCTACCTGTGTGCATGCAAGCACACGTGCAGAAAGAATCAGGATACGTCACAGGAGTAAGAGGAGCCCAAACAATTTTAAGGTCATCAGCGCCTACATTAATGCCACAGACTTTGTGCCAGGGGCCCAGCAGTGGGGAGGGCAGAAAGGGTCTCTTTCTGCCAGAGGCCACTTGAATGTGAAACACGAGGCAGCTATAGAGTATGGCGAGGAATAGTGGGCGGGCACAGAACCAGGAGAAGATGCTCCACACAGGCACGAAGGAGTAAGTGCAAAGGCATGACACAAGGCATTCTCGGAGAAGACAGGGCAAACGGGAGGGGGAGGCGGGCTGCTCAGAGCCCTGCGGTGCTGTAGGCTCACTAACTGCACAGTAGGACCCGCCTGCTGCACCTCCAAGCCTCGCCTCTTCAGTGGGAATCGCATCAGTGCATACGAGTCCACGCTCACAACATACTATGCCCTAGTAGAGTATGCTCGCCATCAGCTTCTGAGGATGAAGTGTGGCCTTCAGGACCTGGCTGAAGACTGCTACAGCACCTCTCTCCCCAAAGGGAGAAAGGCACAGACAGCTCTGTTCAGAGCACCGCATCTCAGTGATGGGAAAAAAGCGCAGCTTGGAAAGGGTAGATCTGCCAGTGCTCCCTGTTACCCCACCAGCGACTCCAGGGTGGTGAGCGGGGCAGTGCTCACACAAACAGGAATGAAGGACAGTACCACTTCAAGTCCCTGCGCACAGGCAGACATCGTTCGCTACTTCCCTTGACAGACAGGGACACACAACAATGCCTCCCCTCTCCGGCCCCTCAAAGTCCCCAGGGAGGAAACATTATAGAACAACAGAAGCACAGGTTTGAAGTGCCCGGAAAGACGCTTTCCTGGAAATTTTAAATACCAACCTGCCACTAAACGCCTTTTACTTTACAAAGCTGAAACCTCTGTACAAGTTCCGACACTGTCCCCACAAACACCATTGGCTGAAACAATGCCACTCACTCAGGTGAGACACTCTGATTAGGCTCCAATTTCACACGCACAGGTGGATACGGCCATCTTGGAGGATTTCACTAGAGCTTCATGCAGGAAAACCTCAGGGTGAAGACAGGGGACGGAATGACCAGGGGGGCCTTGAGCAGATCCCACACCTCTTCCCAGGAACCTCAACACCACAGGAAACAGGTCCCTCCACCAGAAGCCAGCTAAAGACAGAACTCCGCCCTTGGGTCTCCATCCTCTGGGCGCTGCAGAGGCTCCTGCTTCCTCCCCACAGTGCAGTGCTCAGCCTGACCTCCATTCACCTCTGGATCTGCATGAGGCTAACTCACCTCACTGAAGTGATGGGATTAATGCTAAAACTCCACAGACCCAGCTGCTCCTTCACATTCCTGCACTTTCCCAGGCACTGTGAACCCAGCAGCCAGGATGTCACCCGCCACGAGACAAAGTCACAGAGACACTGAATGCCCCGAGACCTGGTCACACCCACCCTGTGGGGCACAGCTGCAGTGGTCACCTACTCCTCCCTCCTCCCATGCCCAGGCACCACAGACACTCTCCTGACAAACACTACACACACCACACTGGCTGCTGATCTCTAGGAACAGGGCTGTCCAGTTGCTATGCACTGAAGGCTTCCATGTTAACAAGCCTCTCCGAGGAGCACTACATGAAGATTCCTGGCCTCTGAATCATGAGGCAAATAAACATAGACATAAATCAGCCAGTCTCAGACAGAGCTGCCTCTGTATGTACATCCTCTGCATCCACGGGCTCATTTGAAAGATGGGAAATATTCTTTAATAAAGGTGGAGGGGACTGGGGAGATGGCTCGGCCCATAAAGCACTTGCCATGCAAGCATGTAATGTGAACGTGAGATTTCCAGTAACCAACCATATGAGGTTGGAGCAGATACGGTAACTGGTCTGTAATCCCAGCACTTGAAAGGTAGAGATGGGATCTCTGGGGTAATATGGTCCAGCTGAATCTGCCAGGCTCATAGTCTGAGTGACGGAGAAAGATGGAGAGTTGGGGAGGATGATACCCAATGCCAACCTCTGGCTTCCATGCTGAAGCACTTGCGTGTACACACATACAACAAAACAGAAAGCCCAGGCCCGGTATCACAGCAACCTAGGAGGATGAGGCAAGAGAGCAAGAGTTCAAAACCAGCCTGGGTAATTTATCAACACACTGTTTCAGGATTTAAAATGCCCGAGGGCTGGGCAAGGCAGTTCATGCCTTTAATCCTAGAACTGAGGAGACTGAGTCATGCACATCTCTGGGCGTTCAAGGCCAGCCTGGTCTACACAGCAAGTTCCAGGCCAGCCAGGGCTACACAGTGAGACCCTGTCAGAGAAGAACCAAAAGGCAACAAAATGCTTGGGCTGTGCCTAGTGATAAGGTCTTGCCGTGTGTTTCTGAGCCACTGCTGTCCAGCCCACCAAACCATTCACACTGAACGCGCACGGATTCCTTGTTACCACTCCCTGACACAGCACAATTACCGGCACAGCATTTATCTTGAATTACACATGGGAAATATACGTGAGATGGTAACATGCCTGGGAAGGTGAGTATAGGCTCTATGCAAACACTTCCTCTAAGGGACTGAACAGTCTCAGATCCTTGTATCTTTGTGATGTCCTGAAGCCAATACACCGTGGGGACCAAGGAGACACCAATCTTACTATCTCCATGGAAAACGGCCTCCGACACCAGCGGATCTCACTTTAGGAGGGTGTAAGAGCCTGCTGGACTTTGCTCCTAGAGCTTCTGACCCCACAGGTCTGGGTGAGGCCCAGCGGTTGCATTTCTAACACGTTCTCAGGGGATGCAGGGAATGCTAGTCTGGACCACATTTCAAGGATCCTGGCTCAAGCCCTGGCTTGCTTCCACTGTGAAAGAACACCCCTCTCTCTGCCTTCCACCCAGTGCTTGGATGACCGACTGACAGCAGCAGATTCCTCTGCAGCGCAGCCTTGGGTAAACGTTTCCTGGCCCCATCCACCGCAGCTCTGTTGACGAGAACTGGGATCCACACCTTCCTCCAAGTGCAGAGCCAACTCAGATCTGCCAGTACTGCAGATCACTAAGACCCTGTCCCCCAGCCCACCCCCTACATTGTTCCCCACATCCAGCCATGTACTAACTACACTGCTTTCTTACCAGTTTCGGCTCAAGGTGGAATGTACTCCCAGGCGTTTGTCTCTGCCCTCCCAAGTCTCAAATTGGTCAGTTTACTTGTGTGGCTTCAGGAAAGGAAAGGGACTTAACCATCACTCGGCTCCTCCCCACAGAACAAGCACACACGGGGCACACTTGCGCCTGCAGCCCAGCCGCAAGGTAAGTAACTCTGGCTCCCGACTCACCCAGGCTCTCACTCTCACGCAGACTACATTTTTCCTAAACCCACTTTTTGCAGAGGCAGCATTCTTCAGCCAGGCAACAGTGACACAGTAGCTCTTGGCTGGGCCCAGCTACAATGTAACCTACCCGACAGTTTCTCTCATCTGTAAAGTGGGTACACCAATGTCTACCTTGTCTGTGTTACATAAACCAATTACATAAACCAACGTGAGGTCTAAATGAGGGGACTTCTAAGTGTGAACTACTATCACAATGGCATCATGGGCCCCTCCCCCCTCTATATATATTGTATATGTTTTAAATGCAATATATATATATATATATATATATACAATATATGGGCGGGGCAAGGATTATAGCCTCCATAAGCCAGTTATTCCTAATACTAACATCTCATTTACACCTTGTTAAGATGAAGAAACTAACATCATTGTGGCCCTACCATTAACCACAGCCCTGAATCTGATTGTAACTTGCTGCCCGCAAATGTGCCTTTTCTGTTTCAGGCCTTAGCCCGGGACACACTGCATTCAGTTTTTAAGGCTCCTTACATTTGTGACTTCCACTGGCTCTTACTCTTGACTTCTGTAAGTCTGGAGAATACTAATTGAATATTCTGCAGATGATTCTTCATTTCAGGCTTGTCTGCTCACCAGATCGGGGCTCTGGGATTTTTAAGGAGACACTACCAGAGGTAGACCGTCCTGCCCCTCCACGACATTAAGCAATATGGTTTTGTGTGTACTTATTTTCCACCCTGGGTCACAATCTAACACTGAATGACTGACTTCTTGTTCAGCGGTCTCAGCTGTAGCCACAGCTCTTCCGGGCCGGACTCCATGTCCCCCTGTTACGTCACCATCATTTTCCTCTTCCGAGCACTTCCTCGACCTTCAGGGACTCCTCACAAGATGCTCTGGGTTTACCTTTTGTTTCTGCTGCCCCAGTTGTAGAAGCCACCATCCCTGTGAGGTGTGGAGCCTGGTTCCTTTCCCTGGAGAACAGTATTTAGGAAGCAAGACTTGGGTGTTCTGTGAGCTCACTATGCCACTTCTAGGCTCGGTCAGATGACAGAGCTAATAAACTCCTGTATGTACACAGACACATGCATCTACATATAGCTGAGAAAGCGTTACAATGTTCATTCATATCCCCTGGGGCCACTGCAACATAGACAAAAGATGAAAAGAAACAGTGT